CGGTGGGGGGGTCTCTTTTGGCCGGCCCCGATTTTTTTTTCAGAGGGGAATATCATGCCTGGAGGACACTGTCCTCTCCAAATGAGTGGAGAGTCCAGGGACTGAGGACAAGGCAGTAACAGGGCCATCTGGCAGTAGTGGGGGAGGCGCGGCCGACCTGATGGAAAGCCGCCTCCAGACATGTCAAACTCAAGGCCCGTGGGCCAGATCCGGCCCACAATGTGGTTAGAGCTGGCCCATGGGGCTGCCCTGGAAACAGCGAGGGACCGGCCCCTGCATGGTGGTGAGCATGCGGGGACTGGTGGTGGCCAGCAGTAGCTGAAGCTTGTTTGCCTTGTCCTGCTTCATCCTGCCTGGCCTCATCCCACCCAGCCCTACCTTGCCTCATCCCACTGCTCCCAGTCTCGCCTTGTCACACCCGGCCTCTCCTCACCATGCCCGGCCTCTCCTTGCCTGGCCTCGCTTGGTATTGCCTCGCTTTGTCTCATGACAGCAGTGGCAGCAGCAGAAGCCCAGAGATAAGCATGGCTGGGTGCCTGCTCAGGGAAGCAGGGCTGGGCTGGGCTATGGTTGCCCAGTGGCCCAGGAGTTTGAGGGTCAGGCTGGCAGGGCATCGGGGGGGGGGGGGGGGCGGGGGACCGGGGGTTGGGGGGGGGGGGGGAAGCGGCCGGGGGGGGGGGGGGAGCAGGGCATCGGTGCTTGTGCGTGGCTGGGAAAGCTGCCTGGGGAGGTGGCAGGCAAAGGCTGCTTGAGTTCAGCTGCTTTTGATACCTGGAGGGTCGGCAGAGCATCAATGCTTGAGCATGGCTGGGGAGATTGGGGGGGTCAAACAGTGCTGGGGTGTGGTGGTGGGGCAGCCGAACTGCATGAACTGCAGTGGGGAGGGGGATGAACATGAGAATCCACTACAGGCAATGGGCAGGCAACAGTGTGCGGGGGCTTCCCTTTTTGACCTCCCCACTGCCGTTGCCTCTGTGCCTGGACTCCAGCCTAAAACCAAAGGAGCAATTCAACTGCCCCCACTGCGCCTCAGCACCATTTGACCCTCCAGGCACCCTCCCCAATGGCACATAAGCACCGATGCCCTGATGCCCCCCACCCCAGGCATCAGGAACAGCCATGCACAAGCAGTCTTTGCCTGCTGCTCCCTGCAGACCTTGCTCTCTCCCATAACCTGTAACCCTCTTTGTTGCCCTTCATTGCCACTGCATCTGGCCTCCTCTGCTCACGCTCCCTGGCACGACCTCCGTGAATACTGTATGGCAGGGTCAGAAAGGGTGACCAGGAACTGGCCCCGGCTGATGCTCAGCTCATGCCATTCCGTACTCCCATCTCCCAGTCCACTGGTTAACCTTTTGTTCCCAGTGGGCAGGCCGCCCCCCTTTCAGCCTTGCTTGCCCAGGATCCCCCTTCCTAGCCTTGTCTGGGTCCCCAACAGGCACCCCTTGATGTGAGCGATATCGAGTGGGCCAGGTCACATTGGCCACACCCACCCAGTCATGTAACCACCCAGTCACGCCTACCCAGCCACGTCCACTTGGCCCTTCGAGGGCAACCATAATGCTGAGCTGGCCCTCAATGAAATTTGAGTTTGACACCCCTGGTCTACTGTCTTCTTAAAAACCTCCACTGATGAAGCACCCACAACTTCTGATGGCAAGCTGTTCCACTACTTAATTATTCTCACTGTTAGGAAGTTTCTCCTTATTCTACATCGAGCTGCTTCGAGCATCCAGAGTGGGAGGTGCTCCAGTCTCTGCACTCACAGGCTGAGCTTTAAT